CCCCAAAACCCCAAAACCCCAAAACCCCAGTATATAAGGATGACACTGAAGTCTACAATAATTAATTTTATTAATAATGTCGTCACATAAGGAAAATTCTGAATTCTCATGAATAGATCTTTATAAAGACTTGCGGACTCCGATCGATGTATATCAGAGTGAGGGATTTCAGAATACTGCAGTTGAATCTTTTCAGAGTCTCGATTCGTCTCATAACATCAATCTCACCAACTTATGTTCATACAGTAAAAGTAGCTCACTTGAAGACCAGACCCATAACAATAAAGATCCCTCTTCAGTCCATTCAGATTCTACAACAACTAAGAAAGGTAGAAAGCCATTCATTGCTGGGCTAAGCAAGAGGAACGACATAGTCTTGAAATCTGTTCTAAGAAAAGTGAGAAAGTTCCACTGGGAACGGTTTAAGAAGACTACTTCATTCTCCACAAAGCACAAGTCATCTATGCAGAAGAAGTTAGAGTGTCTCCACATATATATTGAGAGAGAGTTTGGAATGGATCCAAACAAACAGTTCCTGGATACACTTCATGCTGTGTTTTTCATGAAAGACTCAAAGAAAACAGAGAGTAATATTTTCAGAGATTTGTTCAACAGTTACAGCAAGAAGAAATTGCAAAGATGAATGGGAGATCCATATTTTAAATGCATGGTTTACCACTATTCTTTCGAGAATGATTCTAATGAGCTAGATGCAGATATACGGGCTGGAGTTGAGGTGATACTCAACTTAAAAGAATTATAAGTTGAATAAAAGGAAAGATAAATTACCAAGAGCAAAGGACCCTGCTGTAATTAAGTTAATAAAATAACTTTTACCATAAAATTTTTGGAAATTTGTTTCAACCAGCAACTATTTTAATGATTATATGAATTCAAGAACTTAAGAAAATTTCAAAAATGAATTTATTCAATTAAATCATTAAAAATAATTATGTTTCAAAATATTAAACAGAGGTATTATAACTAAAGCTTTATAATCTAACTTTTATTAAGTCGTCTCTTCTGGGCAATGAGGTAAACTAAAAATATTAAAATTTCTACGAGTACAAATCCATATCTATATTTTCCCTCAATAATTACCTGACCAATAAAGCAAAAACAGTTAATATTTTGTTCTTCTAATTTCAATGGATCGTTTAGTAAAATGTATTAAGTCTATGAGGTTAAACTCTGATAGGAAGCCACTCTGAATTCATCTTAGCCTTCACCAATACAAAAACATATTATAAATAACACCTCAATAGCATATATATTCTGATACTTGTAAATTTCTTAGTTTAAAAATTGTGGTGACCTAATTCCATTGCTCAAACCATGATCTTACTTCCCTAAATTCTTATCCTACAACATTAAATGAATACTTTTGTAGTAATAAACTGCTGATCCCTAATCTTCAGATAAGGAGATCTCTTATTTGTCATTATGGTAAACCTTTGTACTAATTCGTTCTAAAAGTACCCAAAGTATAATCCATTGGCTGAAACTTTCAGAATATTTTAAAAGGCTTAAAAATTTTCATGCGTCAGAGTCTGAGAGACTTTAAAATATGGATTGGCAGGAGAAAAATTCTCTGAAGCTTTCTAGAGGAGCTTTGGAAAGAAATGGGCTAGGCTTAAGTAGGGAAGAAATTATGAATGAAATGAGGCTTATCATGGATGGGATTAGAAATAGAGGTTAGAGAATTTGCTGGAGGCAGAGAGGTTGATGAATAAATTTGGGGTTGGAAGTGAAGATGAATAATTTTGGTATGGATAAAATATTTTAGTACCCGAAAATGTTGATTTTTTGACAAACGATTTAGGATAATTTTGAATAATTCAGGACTTCATGTGATTATCTAAAGAACTCTCTTTAGCAATCATTTCTTGTGTTTTCTCAGAAATAGTAATAAGAATAGTACAATCTCTGATGGTAATTGATTTCATCTTCAAAGTATTATTAACTAATATTAAACCTCAAAATATTTGGCAAGCATATATTGTATAAATTTGATTAGAAAATTTTGATGTGGCTAAGAAAAGTACTTAGATGCGATATTTTATTAAAGAGTCCCATCAAAGAGTCTTTAATTTACAAAAGGAACAATATTGGTTAACCAGTTTCGAATTTTTATTACAGATGTTAACCAAAAATTTGAAATAATAGGGTTCAAAGCTTCTACAGGGATTTTTGAAGGAATAGGGCGTGAGATACCTTAAACCTCCAATCCCTGCTACCCAATCTCGCCCTCAGCCTCCACACAACTATTATCCCATCAAGCAACAAAATTCGCTCTTTAAAGGTTACTATTGGGCTTAACCTAGTTGCCCTCAACTGGGCTATTTAGGAATGAAGATTAAGAGTGGCAGGGGGAGGGAGTGGTGGATGAGGTTTAGGAGGGAGGAGGGATGGGTTAGGGGGAAGAGAATTGTATTAAATGTGTTGGATTGGAATGGAGGGAGGTTGAAATGAGTGGGGTGATAGAGGAGGGGGTGGTTGGAAGTGAGATGGAAGGGATGAGTTTGTTGGGATAATAGTATTTGGGGGTTAATTGGGTGTCAGGGATAGTCTGGGTAATTTTTTCACTCACTTTTTGGGGTTATCTTTTAAATTTGATTGTTATTAAACTTCTTAATTTTACGGAAAATTTTGAGTGCAAAGTACTCATCTGAGTAGGAGAAAAAAGAAGCTCCATAGGTATTTGGTTCTAAATTTTATATCTGATTTAATCATAAGCTTTGAAATGTCTGATTTAGTAAATGTTATTAAAAAGGTAAATTCACAAAATTACCATAATGTGTCAACCACAAATTCCAGGAGTCTCATCCATACCATATTCCCTTACGCTATACCATACCTCCTACACTTTGAATTAACATCTTAAGAATTGTACCTAAAAGCGGCCTGTGAAGGCAGAGATGAGTCAGGAAGGAAGAGAAGAGGGATTTAGGTGGAGAATAAGAGGGATGAGGAAGGAAAAGGGAGATTTTAGGTGGGAAATAGGGGTTTCAACCTTTGGGGTTGGATATGGGGTTTTGGGGTTTTGGGGTTTTGGGG